CAACCCTGAGCCGGTGAGATTTGAACCGCTGACCTGCTGATCTAGCAGTAGCCTGCAGTGCTGCATTTAACCACTGCGCCACCTTGGCTCTTGAGCCAAGGAAGAAGAGCCATGAAGCCACGTTATCACAAGATGTTGGGTAGGAAATTAGAGCATTTGGGGGTACAATGTTGTCAGCTGCACAACGACAGCATCTACATCAGTAGCTCCCAACCTTTTCTTCAACACAGATCTCCTTTAATACGTCAGTATTGCTGGCTGAGGAACTCTGGGAGTTGAAGTCCACAAGTCTTAAAGTTGCCAAGGTTGGAGACCACTGCCTTACGTGACCACAGACCCCTAAGACTCAACCGGGGGTGAGATCCTGCCAGCTTAACAACCCGTTTGGCACACCCTTTGCTGTGCGCGCACGCAGAGTTTAAAGAAACCTTGGCTTCCGCATTACTTTGAGGGGACTAACACAGCTGAGGCGTGATAATCCGCTTTGCCATGTGGATCACCCGAGAAGATAAAGGTAGGGAAACAGCATGGGCGGGAGGGCCTATCAGGTCGTCAGAGCGAATCGGTTCGCTCCCAAGCTGATCGTCAGAACTACCTGTTCGCCCAGACTGGTCAAATCCCACCCCTTTTAACTCAAGATTTACCGTATTTTTCAGAGTATAAGACGCACCAAGGTTTTGAACCATTTTCTACAAATGCCAGGCAAATGCTGGCTACTCTTAAACATCCAACTTTGGCACAAAACTAAACACAAAGACTTGCCTTTCGTTGCTCCAGTTCACAGTTGGGTCATCCATTTTGTTAATGAGAACTATTAAGTGTTTTACACCGGCTGTTTTTGCTAGCATGGCGTGCTCCCTGGTCTGCCCTCCTTTCTCGAAACCTGTTTCAAATTCTCCTTTTCTCGCAGAGATTACCTGATGGAAAGAAGAAGTCCAGTTAAAAGATTTGGAGGGTTTGGCTACAATGCAACCTGGTTTGGGCAGGAGATGAGGAAGATGACAAGGCAGCTCTCAAAGAAAAAGGCTTTGTTTTAATGTTTTATGCTGAGAATCCCGACAAGCCCATTCGGGGCAGGTCTGAGCAATTGTTGTCACTGCTCCCAGTTTCACAATATCAATCTCCTTAACAGATACACGGTGAGCTCAAAAGTGCTCAACACGTCTTTTATAGCGTGCTGTGGCGCAATGATTAAATAGTCAGTTTATAATTTTACTGCTGAAAACCTGGCATTGTCCGAGTATTTATTTATTGGAGGAAAATGTCCGGACCAAATGAAATTTCTAATTTCAAGGATTTTTCCCTTTACCAGAGGGAGCCCCCAGCCTCCGCTGTACAGTAGAAGCAATTTTATGGCCGTACAGTAGAAGCCATTTGAAGGCATAACAGGCTGTATCTTAATAAAATGCCCACCCTGAGGGGTGTTACAGGTGTCTTACCCCCACAGTATTTTTCTCCAGAGAGTAAGCCGAGGTGGCGCAGTGGTTAAATGCAGCACTGCAGGCTACTTCAGCTGACTGCAGTTCTGCAGTTCAAATCTCACCGGCTCACGGTTGACTCAGCCTTCCATCCTTCCGAGGTGGGTAAAATGAGGACCCNTCGTTTTGCCTTGGACTCTGATTTAATTCTACATCATACTTGGAACGCTGACAGACTAGTTAATAGGCCCTTTTCTGTCTTTGGCACCAGCGAGTTATTTGTCGATCCTCAAAAGAAAGATAGTTTGCACTTACTGTAATCTCGACTTCTTCAATGCAGGTATGAATATGCAGCACCGCATTGTAACCTGGGCATATGATAGATTTGTGTTCAATGATCACTATCTGTAATCAAAGAAGAGGCCGGTTCAATCAACTTGATTTCAATAATATTTATTCTAAATAAATTGTAGTTCCATAGTGGCAGTGGTTCAATGGTTAAGGCGCTGGGCTTGTCAGCTGGAGAGCTGGCAGCCCTGGTTCGAGACCCAGGTGCCATGTGATGGGGGTGAGCTCCTGTCCTCGGCCCAACCTAGCAGTTCGAAAGCATGCAATTGCAAGTAGACAATTAGGTACCAACTGTTCTGCCCCAGCTCCCGAAACACAACAAACCCTCTGAAATTAACTCAAAGATTCCTTTATTAGGAGCGCCGGCAGCCCCGGCAAGAAGTTTCTCTCTCAGTACAGGCTAATAAGTCCGCCCGGCAGGGAGATGCATAGTTGTCTGCCACATCTATTCATCGCCTCCCCCTATCTTTTATCCTGAGGGTGGATAAATTACTAGCAGGGGTGACTCTTCCGTCCCAAGGACCCTCCCATAGATTTCCACTGCTCTCCTCTCCTCTGCCTTCTGCACATCAGTGTGGCAGGCACTGGACCCAGCTGTTCCTCCTCTTCCTCATCAGCCTCTTCCTCATCAGCCACCTCCTGGGGGCTGTTGACTCTCCATCTGAGGGCTGACGGACAGCCCAGGCTCCGCCTCTGTCTCTCTCTGACAGCTCCATTCCCTCTCCTCCCCCCTTTCCCGGAGTTCTCAAGATTGTCCTGATGCTGACTCTGACTCCCACACCTCCTCCTCCTCCTGATTCGGCTGCTGGAGGGGTTTGCGGCCCACAGACCACACCACCAATTGTCCGTGACATCACGCTGACTGTGAAAATTTATTCGGACAGCGCTGGCTCAAAGCCATTGAAACGAAGATGAGCACCGTTCCCTGGAGTCTCTTATTTAAGAGAACAGACCTTCTTCTGGAGGCCTACCTGGGCATCAAACGTGCGTCCAGAATGACACAGGTTACTCAGGTCACAGAGTATAAAGCCCGGGAGAATTTCCTCCTCTTCGATTCCTTTCAGTCGGATCTTCAAATTTTCACCTGGAGATACAGATTCGGTCTCTACATCGTCGGAAAGGATTCCGAGGACTTCCACATTGTGCTGAAAAAAAAAAGAGATTGGGGTGGTTGAAGGCATGAAATGTCACGCATACTTAACAATATTTTAGGGTTGTGCAAAAGGCTGTGATGTTATCTCACACTTACATGATTGGAGTTTTTTTTTCCGGATGCTATTAAATAATGGATTATTTTTTTTAAAGATCATCTTGCTTTTTTGGTTTACAATTGCAACAAGGCCGGCCAAATAAATACCATGTTTCCCAAAAAAATAAGACAGGGTCTTATTTTCTTTTGACCCCCTGAAATAAGCATTTGGCCTTATTTTCGGGGAGGTCTTATTATTTTTAAGATGCAGGTGGTGACAAGCGTGGTCACCTCATGGCTGCTGCTGGGTTGCAACATTTTCAATGAGGGCTTATTTCAGCGCATGTGCTCAAAAGCCCGATTGGGCTTATTATCTGGGGAGGTCTTGTTTTCAGAGAAACGGGGTATTTCCGCAGGTCAAGCCTATTCTTCTGTCTTATTTCAGCTCGGTACATCCCAGAATGGCAGCAGAAGAGAGTATTTGTAGCTCAGGATGGAATTGAGGGGTCCTTGGTGCTCTCTGAGTTTGATTGTTTTCTTGAAGACATTTAATTACGCAGCTACCCTGCTTCCCCAAAAATAAGTTCTCCCTGGATAATAAGCCCAATCAGGCTTTTGAGCGCATGTACTAAAATAAGCTCTCCCTGAAAATACTGCAGCCCAGCAGCAACCATGAGGTAACCACGCTTCTCACTTCCTGCATCTTAAAAATAATAAGACCTCCCCGAAAATAAGGCCGAGTGCTTATTTCGGGGGTCAAAAAAGAAAATAAAACTTTATTTGGGGGGAAACACGGTAGGTAAAATCATCAGTGCTAGGTAGCGCTAATGTTATCTAGCACTGATGTTGATGATTACTTAGCACTGATAGTGTTATCTATTCTACATTGATCTCTGGAATTGGGTGTCATATACCTTTAATTAATTATCCCCATCATCTTGATACTTTACTTGCTGTCACTTTATTACTCCAGAAATAACATGCGAAGATTCCTTTCTTCAGGCGTTACAACCACTAAATACGTATTTTTTTTTCAACCTGGAATTTTTCTTGTTCTTTTCTTAAGGAACTCACAACCAATGTTTTTCCCCCCTCCCTTTTGGTAAGCAAACTTACCAATAGAAGAAAACATTCCTTTTTAAGACACACATATGAAACGTATTACAGTATTTTGAATTAAAAAGAAAAACCGCTTGGGGTGGGGGATCAGAAATGTCCCCCTTTTTGTTCCAATACCTTGCTGGACCCCCTGATGTTTGGATTGTCCCAACAAAATCAGGTAGGATGGCTTTGGTCTTCAATCTTTTGAAAACTAGGACCCTGACATGGCCCTGAGCCAGACAGACAACCCTCGTACTGGTTATTTATAACTTCTGAAACCACATCTCAATCCACTTAAAATTTGAGAACTGGTAGGAAGCCAAAATGAAGTTGCAAAATGAAGTCCCTCGCTTGAAGGCAAACATTCTGAGAAATATATTTGTTTTGAAGGCAAGAATCAGGGCAGAAAGAATGACTGGACAGGGGCAGAGAGCTATTTGATAACTATCACAGGCCTTAAGAACCAAGTCAATTTTATTATTTTCCTGGATGGCTTTCCATATCCTTAGTAGTAGTAGGATTCTCACTAAATGTAGAAGAATATGGTGCTTCTGTAGGATTTTGGAGTTTGTTTGTTTTTTGCTTTCCTGCCAACTATTTAGAGAGGTATGACATTTATGTAACTGTGTGTGAAATTCGAACCGCCTTTCAGGAAAATTTCCGGGAAGGGTAAACGCCAGGGGAACATCTGCTCGAGGTTTTGATGACCCTGTCCTTGGTGACCAGGCATTTTTAAGACTGCAAAAGCAGATGGTTAAGGAAGTTAACCCACACATATTTCTCACTTAAAATTCAGCAAAGGGCAAGCAACCTTCTGGCCAGCACGAGTCCTAATCCACATTAGAAATTCCCCCTTTTTAAAAAACAATCTTTTTGAAATATTAAAAGTAATCTGTATTTTTTAAGACCCCAATTCTTATTTCGTTTTAATAGTTTCTGAGCTTTAAAAAGATTCATGCCAAGTTTCTTCTGAATCCTACCTCTTTACGGTAATTTCTATCCAAACGTTACTTTTGGGGTACATGCCTTCTGCACAGGTCTATGCATTTGAGAGTTGCTAATACTGTATCCCTATATTTATAGTTTCTTTGTGTGAAAGCTGCATCGCGAAATGTTGAAAAGGCCGCACATACAAATAGATAAGCTGCGTTCTAGCAACTTCTATTATTTTCTGCCTCGTTCAAGCTTCTATTTCTAGAATATATCCGCAGACCTTGGAGTGGTTTGGCCAAGAACTGTGTTTCATCTCTACCTCCTGCTTGAGTGCAGATTCAAGGATACTGCAGAATATAGGACGGGCTCAAATACTTAAATGCCAACCACTGTGGGACACTTGAAGCAAAGACAACAATTCAAATGGGTGGCAACCTCATTGTTAAAGAATTCCTGTAGAAAATGGGAGGCCACAGAATGCAATGCTGTAATAGGAGGATCTATTTACTTTCTTTTCTTAAACCAACAGGGCAGCCACTTTCTTTTACGGGAAAGAGGAAGAAGAGAAACTTCGCAGATCAGATTTCGAGCTAATAATGCAACCTCGTTTTCAGCTCACTTGATAATCCCTGAGAAATTTCATCCTCCGTCTTGCCACTCATGATTGGTACCGTTAACTGCTGTTATGGAGCAGCAGTTCAAAATTAAAAAGTTCCTTTAACTAAACCACGGGTGTCCAAATGACTGAGGAAATCTGGGAGTTGAAGTCCCCAAGTCTTAAAGTTCCCAAGATTGGACACTCCAGAAAAAAAATAAAAAAAAAATTTCTAGTGTTCTGACCGAGGCTTCCCAAGAGTAAGGGGCAAACTACTGGTCCCAACAAAAAACCTTTTTATTAATTTGCTGTGAATTCTGCTCATTCACATCCAGCAAAGTCTTTCGAGGGAGGATTTACAGTCACAGACCTTATCTGGCTTGGAGAGCTGCCAGGCTGAGATCTGCAGAACTTGGCAAGGAGTCTCGGAGAGTCACAAACTAATGAAGCGAACTGATTGTCTCCTGCAAACTCCACTCCCCTTTTGCTCCTCTTTTANAATAAATCCAATCCAATCCAATCCAGCTACTGGGCGATTATAAAACAAAGAACATAACTATACAAAGAAATGGAGATGAATGAAAAGAGTTTTCCAATCAGTCCGTAGGCAAGAAAGGCTCTTACCAATACAGCTAAATCAGCTTGAGAAGCACCGCCGATCATATTTGGAACAAAGCTCTTATGCCCTGGGGCATCTAAAATTGTGAAGTGTTTCTTTTCTGTTTCGAAATAGGCACGGCCTACTTCCACCGTTTTCCCCTTGTCCCGTTCTTCTTGGTTTGTGTCTAAGGCCCAAGAGAGATACCTATTAAAAAAAAAATAAGAAAGGAAATAGCTGTTATAAAACTGATCGTTCTCGGGTAAATTTAAGAGATGCTACTCTAGAACTTATCTGAACGTTCTCATCCTTTCCAACAACTAAGTTAAATGCTTCTAACACCAGGGGTGTCCAACGTTGGCAACTTTTTACAGACCTGGGGGGACTTCAATTCCCAGAATTCACCAACCAGTCAAGCTGGCTAGGGAATTCTGGGAGTTGAAGCCCACAAGTCTTAGCTGGACACATATTCTATGGAGTTGTGAATTTTGTTTCGGGCAGTCCAACCTTGGCAACTTTTTAAAAAGACATGAGGACTTCAATTCCCAGAATTTCCCAGCTAGACAAGCTGGTTAGGGAATTCTGGGAGTTGGAAGTCCACGAGTCTTAAAAGTGTGCCAAGGCTGGACGTTCTTGTTCTGTGCAGTTGTGGATTTTGTTTTGGGCTCTGGCATGCGACTCAGGAAATGGGATGCAAGGCAGGAGAGGTAAAACTAGTCAAGATGGTGGCCACAACCATGTGATCGAAGCCACACCCCCTTTGTACATCTGTTATGAATGGCGAATACATAGATACACACACACACACACGGTAGATTGCAACGGCATTCTAGGTTGTAGTTATCCATTTCTCAGTTCAGCTTACAGGTTTCTTCATGTTATCTTTTTCAAGGAATAACCAGATCCAAGGTGTTGCTAATCCTTTCCTACGGGAAATCTACTCCGTGTGGCTTATTCTCTCAGGATAACTTTGATTCTACTGACTTATAAGACTCTATCTATTATTTATTGGGTGTTTGCCAACTTACTGTCTCCTCCCGGTGGCAAAGAGACTTTTCTTAGCTGTTAAGAACTTGGCAGAAGAGCTAATTTTCCTCTTGAGGCTTTTCCCAGTGGATGGAGCCATACGATTATAAATCAAATTTATAATTAACTGAGCAAGAACCTAAATTGAAATGATTTGTAATGACACTGTACCAACACAGGGGATTCCTCAAACAGGCAGGGGGCAGGTTTTAGAAATAATTACAGTTTTTAATTGGCATGACATCCATTCCTTGGGCAGCAATGCTCAGAATGTCAGAAATATAATTCAGTGATTCTCAACCTTAAGAGGCGTGGACTTCAAGTTCCAGAATCCCCCGAGAAAGTAAGCTTAGCACCCATGCAGCCCATTCACTTCTGCTCCCCCTTTTCCAGCTAGCTCCATAACTAAACAACCTAGAAGTTGCATTTAGCCTGTTGCATCCGTTTTCCCTAATTTTTATCTTGATGTACAATTTATCTTGTCTTCCAAAGTGGGCAAGCTAGGTTCCAGTTCAAAGACTCAGAGATTCAAGAAAGCTGGGTCAAGCACATCTGGAGGACATGGGGCTATTATTTAAAGTGGGTTAAAATTTTTTAAAAATGTAGGCTTCGTACCAGGTTTCTCTGTTTTTTTCTTTAGCTTCTCTTTCATATTTTTCAAGCGTTCTTTTATCAACCATGCCTGTCAAATACCTGAAAAGAATTTGGTGCGTGAGATATGAAGAAGAAACACATGTAGAAAGCAGTTTCAGTAGAGTTGCAGTTTTTTTTTAAATTAAAAAAAGAGTAAGTACAGGTTTCCTTGACTTATGACCAGCCACTTAGTAAGCGTCTGAAGTTATGATGGATCCTGCCCCAAAAGGCTCTTATAACCCAGTTCCAACATTCCAATGGCCCGCCCTGAAGTCACGTGACCAAATTTTGAGCGCTCGGCAACTGATCTGCATTTTGGATCATTGGCACTGCCCCAATGATCACATAATCACAATTTAAAAAAAGGTTCGTTTTGTTTTACGCCGAGCGTATTTTGCTGTACAACCAGTGTTTGCTTAATGGCCACCACAAAAAGGTTGTAAGATTAGATTGGTCAGATGGGTGACCCATTTTGCAACTGTCACAACTTATGAAAATAATGGGAAGGATCCATTATTCTTGTAAGTCAAAGACTAAGGAATGAAATGGCTTCAGTTGAAACCCCTTTGGCCAGTCGATAGTTTCAAGAACATGCAACTGCATATAGTGTTTTTTCCCCAAAAAAATTTTCCTCAGAACAAATTGGGAAGATCAAGAGGTGACACATTACAAAAGTGGAGAGAACAGCAGTAATGCCTATCCATTTTTTAACAAGCTCTCACAAAAATAGAAATTTATTTTATAATAAAAGTGCTTCAGATGCAGTGTTCTTTGATTATAATTATACCTTTTGATTCAGACTAAAAAGTCAATTTAAGGAAGCTTAAGATGACTGAATCGAGTATGTATTTGGGAAAAAAATTACTTACATTATTTGCCCTCCAATTGTTGATTTTCCAGCATCTAAAAACAAGATAGACAAAAGATGTTTAAAATTAGCTTTTCGTGAGCAGCTAAGATATTTAATTCTTTTTTTGGAAAGGACTTGGTTTTCCCATCATCATATGCTTTTGTCCTATATAATCACAAGAGGGCTAATAACTTAGTATGGAATTCTTCTCTCTCTGAAGAAACATCTTGTTCATATTACATATTTGGGGAATTTCTGATAAGTAGCACTAATTCTACTACAATTGGTATGTGAACCATTTTTTAATCTATCAACGTGGTCTACCCATTTATGTCAACTAGCAGTTAAAAACAAGTTAATGGCACATAATCGATCAAACAAACCAGTTTTTTTTCAGGGACTTAAAAAAAAAAACACATTTAAACTGTGAAAACCAAACATATTATATTCATTTACAGGCATGCCACCTCTGGCTCAACAATGTTCCTGACCTAGAACTCCCTGCACCCTCAGCCAGGAAGACAGATGCTGGGAAATTGCATTTCAACATCTGAAAGTCTACTTCCTTACCGCAATCCTTTAATACACCTAGAAATGCAAAGGAGCAGGACCATGCATTAGGTTGCAGTTCAAAGATTTATTGCTTAAGGCAGGGGTGTCAAACTCTATTTCATTGAGGGCTGCATCAGAGTTGAGTTTCACCTCGGGAGGACTGAGGGGGCGTGGCCAGTTCAACACCACTCGTGTCAGGAGCGCCAGGGGTGGCCCGAGTGCACTGCCAATGAAAAACAGAGCTCGGCCCAGTTCCATTTTCGCTGGGCAGAGAGCTGCAGGAGGCTGTCGCAGCTGAAAACGGGACTTGGGAGAGGCGCAGGAGGCCTTCCCGAGCTCCGATTTTGCTGGCAGAGGCACCGGGTGCTGGTGTTTCCAGGGTGGCCCCGTGAGCCAGATCTAAGCACCCCGTGCGCAAAATGTGGCCCTTGAGTTTGATACCCCTGGCTTAAGCCTATACACAAGAATCTCGACAACTAAAGTGAATTGGTGCCACAGAAGGCACAAGAGTTCAAAAGGGGTTGGACTTGGGCTGTTTGTGGCAATGCAACTACCCTAAACTGATCACATGCTTAACTCCGCCAACCGTTTTCCCTGCTTTTCTCCTGTAGTAGATTAGGGAGCCAAGTCGAGTAGAAAAATAGGAACCACCTTTGGTGGGAAGGTCACAGCGTTCTGTGCATCTTCACGGTTAAGTCATGCCGGCCACATGACCACGGAGACATCTTCGGACAGCCCTGGCTCTCTTTGGCTTTGAAATGGAGATGAGCACTGCCCCTAGAGTCAGGAACGACCAGCACACACGTGCAGGGGGAACCTTTACCTTTACAGAGAGAGATTCTCTCATAATTTTAGGAATCATAGCTCTGAAAAAGTTACTTTATTCCCAAGCAATCTCTCCTCCTTGTGCCTCTTCTCAGAATCCAGCTAGAGCGCATTACCCTGGTCTACATTATCAATTATGACCGCCATTCTGCAAAGACTGAAGAAGCAAGTGGCATCAAAGAGAGAGAGACACACACACAAACGTGAGCTAAGCATAAAAAACAGGAACCACCTTCCCTCTCACGATTGAATCCGGTCCAAGGTAAAGCTAAGCATTTAATGAAGTCCAATT